ATGAGTGGACTTCAACTCCCAGAATTCTGGGAGTTGAAGTCTACTCATCTTAAAGTGGCCAAGTTTGGACAACACTATGCTAAGCAATTCTCTGTACTGAGCTTGAAAATCAATAACTCTCTGAAAGAGATCTATATTCACTGATATAACAGCATAACTCAACATGAGAGTAAAGATAAAAGTTATTTAAGCATATACAAATTTATAAACCTGAATATGATTATAGTCAATTTAATTTGATGTTATAATCAATGAAAATTAATGGCACCCTGGAAATGAAATGTAGTTACATTAAAGAAACCTATAACATCCTTACACTTGTCTTGATTATTTGCATTACATATTTCAAGTAAGTAAAACAATTCATTTACAAAATATTGGTATATATTAAAGGACAGCTATATTCCAAAAGGTAACAGGATAATCAAGATCAAGTTCATAATTATGCAGTCTCATAATTTTAATTTTTTTATTTTGAGGGAAGATAAAGATCAAGAACAATGAGCAGTGCCCATTTTTAAGAAAACTTACACTAAGATCCCCAGAGCAACTCCTTATAGATAGAATTCATTGCACTATTCTATTAGGGATATATTACACTAACTCATTCTCCCTGCCATAGCTCAGAAAGCTGTTGCTCACCATTCCTAAAGGAACTTAAACATCAGCTTCCATTAATTCTATTCCTAACTATCCTCTTGATAAGCAGCTTAAAGCTAACTCAAAAGGTATAAAACTGTTTATGTTGTACTTCTTTATAGTGCAAAGTTTCACGCTGAGTAGAAGCTGATGACTGATATTAATCTGCATTCTATCTAAAGAGGAGCACTATTAATAACTACACCTTACCTGTGTATGGGCTGTACATGCATATCGCCTGTAGTATCCATAGTCACAAGAAGTATCTTCAAGACAAAAACTTGCTTTGTGTCCTTCAGCTACTCTCCTCTGTGAGTTTGCTTCAAGTAAGTCATAATGACTGAATTCATCCATACTGTGATAATGTCTATTAACAAATTAACAGACAGGATTACTTTAAGTTATTGCATAAAGAATCAACATCTTAATAATTTAGCCCAACAAGTCAAAATAATATTTTCCCAAATCTTAAAGATTGCAGTATTCAGAACTACTAGGTAAATATTTTGTGGCACAGTGATATTACTGTCTACATATAATACATTCCAAAATTATATTAAAATTATGATTATATTAAAATAATTATCATATGATTATATTAAATTATATTTAAATATATTTAATCATGTTGCTTTTACATATTTTAATTAAGTATAATAAAATATTAATAACAAAATATCCAATAT